TAGAGATTCTTGACAAAATACCCAAAACGAATCTGCAATGTTATCGGTCCTGACATTGTCCTCTCTGCGTCATTCACTTTCCCACTGCCATGACAAAATGTTTTAACCTAGAAAAGGTTTACTGAATGAGGAATAACCAAAACGGAGGTTTGAAATGAAATGTTAATCTTTATAACATCATCAAAATACAATACTTGCCCGTGGCGTGAGGTAGGTAAACAACTGCTAGTGGAGGACTACTAAAACAGCATATTTCTCCTACTTACAATAGTCTGCAACGTGTTTGTGAGGATTGGGATATAACTATTAGTGTTTATAGGCACGATATATGACACATAACTTCTTTTTAAATTTTCTCTAAATATTTTCATGATAATAGTTCTAACGAGCTACGTAGGTCGGTGGATTTTACGAATATAAGCGCAATACTAGAATGTCAGTTAGTTAAAATTGTTAGATATAACAATAAGTACTATATTAACAGTTTGTTCTTTGTCTTGTACTTCTCGGTAGCGGGGCTCTCTTCCGGCTTCCTGCTTTCCATTCAAATTTGACCTTCAAAAGTTAAATGCAATGTCATTCGTCAACTTCTACATCCCTGAAAGCTGTTCTTTTATTGTCCCTCCTTGCTAATAATGCCTTTCTCATTTTGTCAATGTCGGTAGTCCTTGCATTTCAAAGATTTTATTGCTTCATATGGGGTTAAATGATTCAAATAAAATAGGTCATCTACTATGCTATGGTTGTGAATGCTAGACAGTCTCCTTAAAGAAAAAATTTGGTTTGTTTGTTTTTTTGTTTTTTAAATGCATATCAACCTCAATGTGTTATTGTTGAAACTTGAATAAAGCATGGAATAATAATAATACAACACAAAATGTACTTAAACAAAATGTATTGAAACAAGAAAAATTACACAATATTTACAGATAGTTTTGGTATATTCTTGGGAAGACTGTTCCTGTAGAATGGGTTGACTTAATCGCAGTCGGGCAGAGTATCTGGATTGGATCTCTTCTTACTTCCTCCCCCTCGTCTTCCCGGTACCAATCCATATTTATGTGGTCGGTACTCCACTATGTAAATTAAGTGGATCGTACCACAACAACTATAAAAATAACGTTTTACTCTTTCATATTGTTTGATCCCAGATTGAACCAAATTTTTTCTATCAAACTCATCATAGTCCAGCCAAAATTCTTTGTTTAACAATGGCACCAACATCCAGGCAACAAGACATCAAAATCCGCAAAGGCAAGACCTAATTCCTTGAAATCTTTGGCACCAAAAAAACGTCCATTTTTGCCTGACAATCCTAAGAGGCAAATTCTTTTAAGCCACTGGTAGAATCTGTTTTCCTCCCCATTCCCGGCTAAAACATTTTACAATAGTTGAAACTTGAAGAAGCATCACTTGACACATACATACATTAATTAAAAACGTTTATTTGTTAAAATGAAAACCAGCATAAGAAAAGGAAAAAGAAACAAATATTAAATGAAAATTTTCCTATCTTGAAATACTTCGACAAAGAGTCTAAGGCTTTTGCCCATCACTCCTAGAAATTTCTTGTATTAATGACATGTTTTAAAACGAACCCATTGAAAGAATAAAATTTCATCGTTGAAAGATTCATCATTTGAAACAAATTGACCAATCTTGTAGAACGACACTGATGTTTATTTGGAAATTTTTAAATACAGCGATTATCTTTAACGAGATGGTTGTATTAGACTTTGAATAATATTTGGTGATTATATGAAATTTCGATATAAGACTTATTCAAATATATGACCGCTAAAAATCTAATTATATATTATACTCACGTTTACAATAATGAATTAAGATGGCAAAATCGGATCCAACAAAATTTTCATAACAATCAAGAAAAAGCATTGAGGTTTATCATTCAACGATAGCTCAGGTGAGAAAAAAAAGAAAATCCACTTTAATAGATAAGGCCAGTGCTTGTAGGAGGACAAAAAATAAACATTTCAATGCTGGATGAAACCAATCAACAAATAAAAAATTTTGGAAATCATTTTAAATCATGCTTCGCTATGAGAACGAAGGTTTCAAAAATAGATTCACCCTTTGAGAAGTAAATAAAAACTTGTGAAAGAAAAAATATGGAAGCCACTGAGCGGCAAAAGATTAAAAAAGACTTAAAACACCCACATTGAACCAACTTGCAAATAAATTCCATTTGGATGACCTGAATTTAAAAATTAATGTCTGAAACATAGAGTTGGTTGCATGGAACGAGCTAGAAGAATCAGGGTTAGAAAATTGATTTGATGAAATTATGAAATTATATTTCCTTTCAAAACAGAAAACTCCAGCCACATAGACCTTTGAAAACAGATCTCTTCCTTTAATGAAACCATTTGTAATTTTCAACGTTTCTTGAAAAACACAAAAATCAATTTAAAAGGTGTTTTTTATTCAAAACATTACCAGCAGTAAAAGTAATCTTCACTCTTATCATAAAAGAATAATGCTTGGTGGATTTGGTTTTGTTACCAGGAGACATACAGCCCTGTCTTGGGATTGAACTCACAACTAATATGTCACTAAATTCACAGACTATAAATAAGTTAGACGATATGACACTAGACATGGATAGTAGAACCAGAACAGTCTAGCTTCCCTCGCTCAACAACATTGACACTGACGAAACACCAAAAAGCCTCAGCTGACGAAACATACACAAAGATGTTATTGTTACAATTTTCATTGGACATCAGCTGAAAAGAAACACCCAATCAGATACGCCTGTATAAGACACCATTCTCCAATTTGTCATGAAAAGCCATTGAGAAAAGGTAATTATTAAGGTCATCAAAAGACATTGTAAGAACTTGTGAAAGACACCCTCCTATAGAACCCATTGAATAAAGGTAAAGGATCGGTCGAAAGACCTTGTCAAACACTTACATTTCCTTAATATTGTAAATGATATTGGATTATATCTGAGGAACTAAAATAAAAAAATCTCCAGATGGTTAGATGAATTTCTATGAAAAATATTCTATAATGATGATGAATACATTTCAACATGCCAAACATTTAAAAACATAAAGCTAACATAAGAGCTCTAGAAATCATCTACATTCGTAATCTTCAATAGTGTCTTTGAATTGCCATTTCAAAATCGGATACAAAGTGTCAATATTCACCTAGGAACAAGCAACAAAAAGAAAAGGAAATCATCCAAAGCCAATTCTTAAAAAATTAAATCATTTTACCAGGTTGCCAGAAGATAGTCTAACTTAGAGGATCTTCTAGAGAACAGAAGAAGGCCAGCCTATGTTAGAAGGAAAGAAACAAAAAAAAAAAAGTTTTCAAAATTAGGAAGAAACACCACCATATTAAATCTTATCCTGGACGCCTTACTCATATCTTCAGTTAAAATTTGTTCAGAAAGAAAAGGTCTGTGGCTAGAAGGTCAACTGGAGAATTCTGTCAGAAAATGTTAAAGATTTTTGTCTATGGAACCCACTGAGCGGCAAAAGATCGGTTAAAAAAACAAAAGG